AAATCGCGGATTTCACAATTACCTCATGCCGTACCATGTGCTCTATATTTTCGTATTCTGCATTTTCGAAAATTGTACAATTTCATTGGTTAAAATTCTATACCGTGTTGCACGTACAGATAACCCAAACATGTATAATCAACCGAATAGAATCGTGACGTCAATGACAAAGACAAGATTGTTTCGAACGACCAGAATTGCCACTTTGTACGAGAGACAACTTTCATCTCTCGCTTTGACGTCACTCGTCGGTGAAAGAAGAGACAAGAGATAAGTGACCAGAATATGGCCCCAGTACTTCAGTGAGAATAATCTGGAATGGCACAACTGCATAAGCATTTGCACAGACGAAGCAACAGCTATTACAAGAAAAATTAGGGGATTTATAACCAGGGCTTCTGAAACAACCCTAATATTAAAAATGTACATTGCTTTTTACACAGGGAAGCACTAATGGCAAAGTCTCTGCCTGATGAATTGTTGTCTGTCCTACAAGAAGTCGTCAAAATTGTCAAATACATCAAGTCGTGACCACTGAACTCTCATCTGTTTAACCCCTTAAGCCCATAACCCGAGATATCTCGGGCAAGTTACATAACGTTACATAAAATGAGGTCCTTAAGGCCATTTTTGAAAATTTTTTTTTTTTTTGAATTTTTGGAATGTTTTTTAGGTTCCGAAATTTTTTCAAAATTTTTTTCCCGCGCAAAAAAATTTTATCGCGATTTTAATGAGCCTATGTGAAGGCTCGATTAAGGTTTAATTGTTTTTTAATGGGAGTTTTTTATCAAAATTATTTCATGGTTTTTAAGTTGTAGCGCACGGATTTTCATTCAGTAAAGTTATTTAAAGTTAGTTTCTGATGTCAAAAACGACCTCCGATGGTTTTTTAATTTTTTTAATTAATATATTTTTATAAATATATAATTAATTAATTAGGGGGGGTCGGAAATCGCAATAAAATATTGAATTTTTTAAAAATATTTAAAAATTTCTGTGTCGCTTATAGTCACCCTACTTTAAACCCTTGTCCTCCCGAGACGTCTATGAGAATGTCCCGGGAAATCCGACTCCAGCTGTGTTCAAGGTCACCCAGCTGTGTAAACAATGACTCATCGGTGTTACATTTCACAGACAGGCGAAACAAAGGAAAATAAAATTTAAAGCTTTTTCTTCAAAATAAACGCATTTCTTTCGTTTTTTTTCTGTTTTAAGTATTTTTTACGTTTAATTGAAATCTATATAAAAAATGTCAATGTCTCTAAGGAGTTAATGCAGTGTGTCAGGAAATGGGAGCAGATCATCAGTAACTTCTGTTTCATACAGAAGTACGATGGCTTTCTCACGGAAAAGTGCTTTCTCGAATTTATGAGCTAAAAAATGAGTCCCAGATGTTTTTAGAGGCCCAGGGTTAAGATTTTGCTTTTCAGTTTAAAAGAGAAGAATGGGTAGCAAAACTTGCATATCTGGCGGATATATTCGCCAATTTAAATGAGCTCAACAAAAAACTGCAAGGCAGGAATTCTAATATTTTAACGTTATCAGACAAGATTGAAAGCTTTCGTGCTAAGTTGGTGTTCAGCCACGCTACCAATGGTAGTAATGAAATGTCCCCAAATGTCATGGCTACTGATTCAGAAAAAAAAGTGCAGGCTTTGATAGTGAAACACTTGGAGCTATTTGGAGAAAAAATGAACTCTTATTTTCCTAAGTGTGACCTGCAACTTATAGACTGGGTACTAAATCCATTCTCAGATAGCATTTCCATTGGACACCTATCGATAAACGAGCAGGAAGAATTCATGGAGCTAAAACTGATCAGACATTAAAACTAAAATTTTCCGAAACAGAGCTAGCACATTTTTGGCTGCATATAAAAAATGAATATCCACTGCTTTCAAAGCATCCTATTGCAATTCTCTTACCATTTGCCACGACCCACTTATGCGAATTGGGGTTTTCAACTCTCACTACGATTAAATCAAAAAATAAGAGAACGCCTGAAAACGATCGACCAAGAGATGAGAGCAGCCTTATCAACGATTGCTCCAAATTTTGATCGCCTGTGCTCAGTTAAGCAGGCTCACATTTCTCATTAAACACTGTACTGATTTTTGTAATAAATAAATATTAAATAAACATTGGTTTTTTTCTTTGGTATACCTCTAAAATTTCTTGATTTGGTAGGTGTACCTTAAACACAAAAAGTTTGCGAAACACTGCAATAGACGATGATTATCAGATGAGCGCCCATAGCTTAAACTAGTTATTTTCGAATTAAATTGATTTCAGTAAAAATTTTCAGTTTTAAAAAATTACTGTAAAATATGTAACACTGATATTGTTTCTATTATTAAACTTTATAACGATAAAATATTGCATTTTAATAAAAATTAATACTGCTAACAGTTATTTAATGAAAATTGAATTTTCATTTTCATTAAATAACTACTTAAACTTTGAATCTTTAATATTTAAATTACATAAGAAACATCGCAGAGGACTAGCAGCGAATAGCGCGTGAGACAGTTTGAATTAGAACATTCGGTTTGCAACGAATAAAAGAAGCAGTTATCATGAGTGAGGGATCCCATAAAAAAGATTTTTGTGAAAAGAGCGAATTCTTTTTCACAAAAAAAGTCAGAGAGAAGTGAGAAGACAGTTTGTATTTGTATTGTATAGAAAAAGAAATCCATGATATTACAATTTCGTACAAAGCTATATTTAATTATAATTTTCTTTAAAAGTACATTAATATAATTGAAGAATATTTTGTACCAGATATTTACTGTACATCCACCACACATTTTATTTCACGAAGTAAGTTTTTATTATTTTATTTATAATTTTAGCCCTATATCATGGCTAGCAATTCGGAATGTAATTGTAATATTAAAAATACATTTAGAAAAGTCTACAGTTTTTACTGGCTTATCGAACAAACGATACAATTGGACCCTTGACCATCACTGATGCGAAATTGACTGATTGCCCCTGGAAGTCGGCTTCTTACAGAAACACAGCTTCCCTACTATCAAATGTCACGGCACGTCACTGCATCTTATCTTGATTTTCTCACACCATCTGGATGGGTGACATATCTGATCTTCCCATCAGCTGATGAATTCTTCAGGTGGTGATTGGCGGAAATTAGAGATAAAAGGGCAAATTTCCACATACTCGGGGCAGTTCGTCCAAACATTCATAGTGCCACCTAGAAGGCTGTTTCCATCCAAGTGTCAGCTCTGCCACTCTCCCCATCCTATTTACCACAATGCATAGAGTTCCTGCCATGCCCTATAACAGATCACGCAAGAAAAATGTCCAATGAGGTAATATAATTTGTTTGTAAACTCTCTCTCGGTGAATAGGTAACAATAAGTCCCAAATATTATTGTATTTTATTTCTTTCTTTCTTTTATTTTATTAAATTTTTTATTTGGAATTTATTAATGGTCTCCTCAGTGTCTTCCTATAATTGCTGACATCTCATTGCAAAAACCCGCAACCTCCCACATGAATTCTGTTAGCCACTCAGCCATCCATTGACAAAGTGAGCAGATCTCTCAGATCTAATGATTAGAGGGTCTTGACCCCTCGTCCGTATTCTCACACAATGAAGCTATTTTCTATAACTAACTTAAACAAGTTAAACTGAACTTGAATATTTTTTAATTCAATAGTTTATAATATAGTGAGTTATGCATCTCCAATATGATGTTTATCCAATTACCAGAAGTTGGAATTAATTCAGAACAAATTTATGCGAAGAATGTTTTTGTGGAAACATAGTCATGTGTTATATCGAGAGGATGGTAGGACTTAATGAACATTTTACTCATTATTAGCATTTACAATTTTTTTATCAATCTCATCTGTAGCTTGAAAATTAAGCTCTGCCCATTTTATTCTGATAAATAATATAATATTTTTAATAAAACTTACCAGATGACACCATACACAACTTTGATTTCTTTTGTAGAGAAAGTTACAAAATTTGTTGCTAAATTTTTCACAAATTGCAATAAACCTAACCAGGAGTCGGAAATAACACCAAATTCTGATTTATTGAACAACTAAAAATTGTCAAGCAAGTCATTGCCAGCATTTTTAATTATAGGAGGTAAATCTGTTTTTACATAGGGCCAAATAATTTTTCACATGTGTTAATTAATAAATCAAGTATCAAATCATTCAATACAGACCCATCAAAAAAAATCTCCAAGATACATTTAAAAAAAACTATCAAAACAAAAGTATAATTTGAAAAAATATATAGTCTGAAGAAACAGAACTTCAAAATTTATATTTGGCCAAATATTCCAAAATTTCTAAATCCCAAAAAATTATAACCAACTAAATTATGTCAATTCTCATTACATTCTTCTCTCTTGGTGCCATATTTATAGTACAATATCTGCAGAGAAGCAAATATTACTATCTGGAAGTGTTTATTGTATGGCAGGGGTGGCCAAAACGTGGCGCATGCGCCAAACTTGGCGCATTGGACGATTACAATTGGCGCTTCAGTCAGTTCTGAGCAACATTGCCAGATTTGGCTTCTTTGCAATTATGAATATTACATAGAAAATTAATTTTTTATAGTCTGCCTTGGCAAGTTCATTTGTTGCACAATTTGTTGCAATCAACTTTACAGATAAAATGAGTGTTCTCCACATAGTAAATTACAGTGTATGCATGTATGTTTATTTTCGATCAGTTTACAGGTGTCTAAATGGCAGTGCTAACGTCCCACGATAGTGCTACCGTCCGGACTCCGGNCTTTGGAATAAAAAGTTTCTACGCTCTATCTTTATTACAACTCTATTTATTGAATATTTTATTCTGATGTCACGTGATGACATCAGAATTTCCGGGTCTCTTTCGGTAACAAGTCTGCCCCTAGTCGGAGTCGGAGTCGGAGTCGGAGTCGGAGTCAAATGGTAAAAAACAGTCGGAGTCGGAGTCGGAGTTAGAGTCGGTAGATTTTTACGCGACTCCACAGCCCTGCTTTGCACAATGCAAAAACATTGATAATTTTTCCTTAACTCATATACAAAGGCCATTACTGCTGAATGTGAATTGTCAATATAAGTAACTTAATATATAATTTTGGTCTTGTCTTAATTACTGGCAAGAAAGCCTTCTGTTTGTTACAGCTTAATACTACTATATTGTCTTGTAATAAACTTTATGTACAAATACTTATCTTTTCACTGTAGATATCCTATTGTCCTTATTAACCACAGGAAAGCAAACTTGTAAACTCAATTCATCATCCCAGTAATCAATGAAACTGAAACTTATCTCCTGACGATCACCAATGTTCAACACGTCTATTACGCACTGAAGTCATTCGCATATTGACACAGCTAAAAAATAATACAATAATTAGTTGCTTTCATGTAAATTATACAATAAATTTAGACACTATTATAACAATACTTTCTATTTCTAACAAACCTACACCAACCATTCAAAACGGTTCATTATACCTAGGGGTATCAGTTTTATTCATGTAAATTTTTAAAATTACGCTTTTGTCTAATTATGCATATCTAAATGATATATTTACAAATAACTAATTTATAACAGAAAATTATAATCTGGTCAATATTATTCTGTACACTTAGTAATCCTAAATATTACCAATATAATGTTTTGTGGTAAATATCAGTATTTAGGCTGTTGTTGAAGCTACCAAAATCTGAAGAATACAGTAGATTCATGTTCTTAACTTATCTGTTACGAGGTTTATAATTATATTGTTATTGTATATTGTTATTTGTAGCAATGTTTAATTATATTGCGGATTTAAGCCTAAAATTGATGAATGAAATCATTTTCAAGGAATATCAAAACAAAAGAAAACCTGTATGTATATTTTTGTAGAAATATTTGTACAACTTATCTGTTACGAGGTTTATAATTATATTGTTATTGTATATTGTTATTTGTAGCAATGTTTAATTATATTGCAGATATTTAATTTTATCATAGTTTGTCATTTATAGCAATATTTCCATCACATTACATTTTACGCCCAGTACTGTTGTTTTAGTAGAATATTTTTCACAGAAAAAACCTGTAGTATAATTTTTCGAAAACTTTACAAGTTTTTTAAACTACTTATGTATCACTAAATTTTATAATTTTTATGATTGTATTATTATTGATTATAGCAATTGTTAAGTCATACTGCGATTCACACCACGAAAGACAATATAACGTGATAAATGAAGATACCGTATCAATATAACAATCCAACTGAGGATAAAAAGAAATGTGTAAAATCCTTAAAGGTATTAGTAATGTGTTTATGTTGTGTTACTTGACATCTAAATACTTTGTTGGTGTTTTAATCTGTAAAATTTTGTCAACTTAATTTCTATAATTGTAATTTATAGAACACTGAAGAGGAACTGGAAATGTGAAACCAGTTCGAAATGCATATGTAAAAATATAATAAAAGAATTCATTAACCTGATGCTGTAAGATAGTCTACTGAAAGAATTTGTCAGATTAAAAAGACAACCATTCACAAACGAATATACAGCTATAACCAGTAAATTCAACATATTCAGTTTTGTTAATACTATGTAATAGTGTAGATAGAATATTTTCAAATTTTCTTGACTTTTTGATGCAAGAAATTTGATCGTCTACATGTGCCCTTAAACACAATTATTTCTAAATGAGTTTAACCTCCCTAGTGCAAATGTAAAACGTTAGCTTGTTTTGGTATTTGGCTCTAAAACTTAATGCCTCTTTCTTTCACAGGCTTTGCACCAGGGCTGTGGAGTCGGAGTCGTGGAGTTTTGATGTTTTAGCAGGAGTCGGAGTCGGAGTCGGAGTCGTCAAAAATTCCGCCGACTCCGACTCCTATTTACTTACCAGCTTGTTATGTATATAAAACGGAAAAGTATTGGAATCGTGTCAAATTTGACCCTCCAAGTTTTTTATTTTTTTTTTATTTTTTTGCAAATCCACACGTTTGGAGACCTCCCGAACCCCCTCAAAAAAGTCAATAAAGGGGAAAAATTCGCGCGCGCGTGTGTGTTGGCGTCTAATTTGTTTAATTTCTTTATTTTCTGTTCTGAGATATTAAACAATATCTCAGAATGGGTAAAGTTTAAGAAACGAAATGTGGCACTGTGGCTTGCATATAAAGGGGCATTAATACTATTAAATTTTGGTTCTTAATTAAAGGTGGACAGGGTGAAGACATAAAAGTGGCCATGTGTCATATCTCTTAATGAATATTTTACTCGTTTTTAGCGTTCAAAATTTAAAAAAATAAAATAAAACTCGTCTTTACCCTCAAAGT